CTCAGTTTTTAAGTTGTAGTCTTAGAGCTCCAAAAGAGTCTGATTTCCACCCTTTTTCATCCTCAGAAGGATGACTGCTTTCTTGTTTACAGTATGATTTTTCCCCTTTTGGAAAATTGAGTTAGCGTGCTCTTTACACAGAAGTAGGACTTGTTGGCTATAATAGTTGAAATGAGGATGTCTCAGATAAAAATGGTCTGAGTAAGGATCATTCATTGTTACATATATTGTTAAAATTTTTTGTTGAAAGATAAAGAAAAATGATTATAAATCACCGGTTTTTGTTTTATTCACTTATTTATTATTTTTACGATTGTTTTAAGGAATAGCAAAAGCTTTAAGATACAGGTGTGGAGATGAGGCTGTTTCTGGTATCAAAGACCTTTGATGCAAATTCTTAATGAAATCTTATCCTTCATAGTCATTGTTTTGTTTTTTGTTTGGGAGGGGTTTCTAAAATATATATCAAAGTATTATCATACAAGATTTCAATATCAAATGATAACGAGAAAAACCAAGTATTGGTCTGACTCATCCTATGGTTTGTCACTTGGAGGGCAGCCTTCCTTCCAGCTTAGCCATAACGAAAATTCTTGCCTGCTTGTCTTTGGAATTTGTGTTTGCTGATGATGTGCCTTGGTGGTCTGAGAGATTCAGCGGCTACGTTTATACTGTTGGTTATATGAACCATAAGAAGTGGCTGAGACCAAAAAGTAAAGTAGGGAATGCAGAAATGATACCCCACATAGAAAATATTGGAAATGGCAGAGAAGGAAGACATATCCGGTTTGACAGGTAGAGAAGTGACTCATAGCCAAGGCTTGACATATCCAGGGTGTTGCAATCAGAGCATTGACCTAAGACTTCACACCCGCAGCCTGACATGTTTATATAATGGCAGAACTAAGTGGCTAATAGTTTCAAGAGTCAATTTTCAGAAAGGTTATTAAATTATCTTTTGTGACCACCGCTCAAGTTTTTCTAGATTTTTGCTGCTGCTTTTGAATGCAATCAAGGCCTGGCACGTGTTGCTCTTTTGCCAATGGCAAAACAAGGGTTACTCTGCATTCCTGATTAGAAAGATCCAATAATCTCCCGATGTAATCCCAGCAAATGCAGCTTCCATCCCTGCCTCAGTTCAGCCAAAAGTGGCATTAACTGTAGCTTGTCTCCTTTGTTTACACCAAAGGAAGGTAAGAAAACTGGCAGTGGCGGTGAGAAGAATGCATTCTTATCTTCGGCCAGCGGCAATGGTAGAGTGTGTTATTGTCTACAAGGAGGCAGGCTGCTTACATTAAGACTTTGGACCCAGCCTGTAAGTGTCAGCTTATTGAGAAGTGAGGAGGGGAGGAGGGTAGCAAGAGGAAATTCCATTGCCTAAGGAGGAACAGTTTTCTGTCTTAATTGTAAAGAAAATCTCGGTAAAAATATTAACCATTTGCTTCTAGCAAAACTGTTTTTTGGACCAATTGTGAAACTAGTGTCAAATGCCCCATTTGTGCTTCTAGACCCATGTAAGCAAGGTGCTTTCTGTCTTCCCCAGAAGTACAGGCTAGAGAATATCAGATTCATTCTGTGTCTTTATGCTCTTCAGAGTATTAACACTTTGGGGATAGCCTTGTGGTTAAGAAGTGGCCTGTAAAAATCACTCAGAGTTCCTGAATGCAACCTAAATCCAAAAGTGCTTAATCTTAGTTGATGATGATCTCAATTTCTCAGTAGGTGACAAGCAAGCAAAAGGTTTTTATTGAACACCTGGTAGGTACAAGGCTCTGGAGTGTACAAAATATATAAAAAAAAAACCCAGCCATCCAAAGAATATATCATCTAATTCAAAGAAAAATACACAAAATTTTTTGGGGGGGAAAAAAGCAAGTGTTTCAGATTGCTCATTTACTGTCTGTCTCTGACTCGATAAACATCGCCTGCGTCTCTAAAGCTAACTTAATTGCACTAGATGTACTTTCTGTAGGATGCCGTAGCCAAACAGGAAATTTGAACAAAACCCCATGTGTTAAGCCCCCATTCAAAGGCCCTTGAATTCTTTATGAAATATTTTAATAGCATAACTAGATGAAACTAGGCCTGATAATACAGTTACAGGTAAACTGTTCAAGGCATGCGTGGCTCCATGTGTCTTCTAATGCATGGCTTCTTGTGTCTTCTGAGGCATGGCTCCATGTATCTTCCGAGGCATGACTCCATGTGTCTTCCGAGGCATGGCCCTGTGTGTCTTCCGAGGCATGGCCCCGTGTGTCTTCTGAGGCCTGGCTCCGTGTGTCTTCTGAGGCATGGCTCCATGTGTCTTGTGTCTTCTGAGGCATGGCTTCATGTGTCTTCTGAGGCATGGCTCCATGTGTCTTGAGGCATGGCTCCATGTGTCTTGTGTCTTCTGAGGCATGGCT